GAGGGAAGCAGGGAGGGAGGGGAGGTTCGCATGCATGGCGCCGACACAAAGGAAAAAAGGGCACTGAAACAGTTACAACTAATTCAAAATTGACAAGTACCATATTCGCGCGTAGGGCGAGCGCGAGAAAAGTCCTAGGCCTATTGAGATTCCTATAAGAGTTCCTTGAGTTTTCCTATACGAAGTCGAGAGCGTTCATGCACAAGAAAGGACATGCCAGGTTTCGCTTATTCCGGAATCCCTAACTGTTCGACCCAAATTCCTAGCGTGCTGGTTAAGGAGCGCATAAGTCCCATGCATTTCCCGAATTGCAAAAGATGAAATTCTAAAAAAAACATCCAAAAATGACGAAGGTCCTGAGAAGGTCGGGCCTCCCTGATTACGAACAATGTACATTAAACCACCAGTACCTCGCTCAGCTATCGGTCGCGGGCACTCCCGTATACGCGCCGCAGCCCTAGGGGGGTCGGCCAAGGGAAGGCCCGGCCGCTGCACAAAGGCCGGGCTCCGCTTCCCTAGGAACGACACACTTGAGAAAACAAAAAAAAAGAAAAAAGGGAAAAAAAAAAACAAATACACAAACGAAAATAAAAACGAACGGACAAAAAGTTCAAGTCGTGCGCGCGCGCGAGAGAGAGAGAGAAAGAGTGTAGCGGACCTCTGGTTGGCTTGTGAGACCAGCCCCTTGGCCTGTTCTCACAGGCCTGTGTTCTATTCGGGGGCAGTCTAGTCCAGTCAAGGCCGGTACCTCTGTCGGTACCAGCCAGTCCAGTCCAGTCCCGTCAGTCCGCTGGGGTATACCCCAACAGTTGTCTGTTTTCGTCCTCATTCTTCACTTGCACATTTTGGAGTACGTGCGTTGGAGTCTTGTGTGGGGAGCTGCGTTGTGCCATCTCGCTCCCCCCCTTCTTCCTCCATCTCCATCTCTATCATTAGCGGAGCACCACACCTGGTGGGTCCGCTACATTGGTATCGAAGCGGGAACGTTCCCCGCTCCTACCCACCACCCCGTACAGCTGTCCAACTGAGGAAAACAGCAAAACCCGACATCGTTTTTTTTCGTTTTTTTCGGGTGTTTTTTCGGTGAAAACAGAGGGAAAAAGCGGCGCCTGCAGGAGGCGACACGTGGCGAAAAAAACAGGCGCCACCACGAGCCCGCTGCCCCGCCCCGCTCCCAGATTATATTATCAAGATCTGGAATGCATGCTGCCGCTAGGATTTGAACCTAGGCAGCTGTCGGCCATGCACGTGCGCGTACCACTCTCAAAACACACTGGCCACAGTCTATGCATGGCCTTGTAGCACGGCAACCTCGTGTTGAAGAGGCGCTGGCTATTTAACCCCCCCCCCC